TGTTATTATATTCTAACTTTCGTGGGATGTATTAAATTAATTAATTTAGCCGAAATCATTTCGGCTTACTCGACTTGGACGCGGAATTTGACAAGTTTTAAACCATGCTCAATGCTCATATTCATGAGCGCCATTCCGCGACCTGAATAATAATATGAGCCTTTAACATGACTTGAAAGTAGTCGAGTTTGGCGTCAAATAATTAGGTGTGTAAGTCGAAAAATATAATAACTAAATAAGGTAATAATATAATAAAAACGAACACATTTTGGAAATTAAACTTTTAGAAAAATAACGTTATATTTGGCCGTTCGGGAATTGAGCTGATAATGTCAACACTACTGCGGAAATTAGTAACATTCGTCAAAAATCAATCGAGGCTTCGGCTGTTAGACAGCTAAATTAAGTAGAAACTTAATAGTTGAGAATTGCAAACATACAACTAACAGTAACATGTAATTAATGTTATTTGCGTCTCTGTTTGTGAGTGTGCACTTATGCAGGTTATTGCACCATACAAGGACTATTATTGCTTGCCTGGAAATGCATTAAGATTTTAATGGTTTGACTATTCTAGGAAATGTATATTTTAAAAGAAAATACTAATGTTTATTCAGTTACCTACGTTATTCGTATTTGTTAGAAATATGGCTAATTAAATAATATAACGCCGTTGGTAGTTTACGTATGCTATACCAAATCTATATCTTCTATCTATACATATAATAAAATCGTAGGAAGGTCAAAATGGTATATTATTTTTTTTTTTTTAAAGAATACTTGAGACGTAAGAAGTAAGAATTTTTGTCTGTTTGTCTGTATGTATGTCCGGGCTAAACTCAAAAAGTACTGCATAGATTTACTTCAAATTTTGCATGAATATTACAAACAGGCCAGGTCACCATATAGACTACATAACATCACGTTATCACTTACTGGAGAGGAGCTGTGAAGAACTATCCAAAGTCCACATTCCACGCGGACAAAGTCAACTTGAAATGAACGACTTTTTACTTGAAATGAATAGTATTCATATATTTTAATCTGATAACACTAGTAGAAGCGTTTTCAAAATTTTATTTTACGCGTATGGTTCGTATGTACGTAGCTGTACGTTAGCATTTATCTTAAAAAAAATGCAAGTCATGTGTCGGTCTTAACGTCAATTGAAGACCAGCTCAATGTCACAATCATTTAATCAACTTCCACTCTCAGGTTTATTTTTATCCTGGCGACAAATATCTTCATTTATTTTTGTGATATTATCACGGATATTTGGATGATATTTTACTTCGGATACAGAATAATAATCGTTTGTCAACTATTTATAAAAAAAATATTTATTCCACAGTCCCGCCTCAGGGTTCCATCAAATGGCCAGGATGATGGACCGTATGATGGTGGAAAGCTTTCAGCCATTTGGGTTTGCGCGAATGACAGCAAGTCAGAGCGGAGACAACAAAGGTGATTCGGAAAAACCCAGAGATGGACTCAGAACAGAACGGAGTGAGACGAGGAGAGAACGAGCTAAGAATCAAACAACCACACACATCGCTTCGGGGACACGACATCTGCCCACACAAGGTGAGCGAGGGCACGTGATAGAAGAAGATGAAATAATTAAATTATATTTAAATAGAATGAAGGTATGGTAAGGTAAGGAAGGTAGGTATGAAGGCAAAGATGTACTTCTTGGTACCTAGCTACCTATCTTTTCCTCGTGAAGGGACTAATAGCGTTAACTAATAATCATAATAACTTGGCTCTATTCTAATTAATGTTTAATGTTAGCTTTTAGAAATAAATTCTACAACTTGTTTCAGTTGTCAAACCGTCAAACGTGGTAAATATAAGCGAAAAACCTCCTGACCAACAAAAAAATCCAGATCCAACTACAGAAAAGTGGGCAGGGACGTTGCGACGTCGAGACCCCGTGCTACCTTCAATAGGCAGAAAGGGTTCCTCCTTAGGTAGTGGAAGAATAATTAGCAGATCTGTTGACAGAATACCCAAGACAGTAAGATCTCGACCACTTATTCCTATAAAACCAAGGCTTAGAAAAACAGATGTTCCAAATGAAGGGGCTGATGTTACCATTTTTGAGAAGGATGAGAAAGTCTTCGATGCGACAGGATACGAACTCCATCTAGTAGAGACTTTGGAAAGAGATATTTTACAAAGGAACCCTGCTGTTCGTTGGAAGGATGTCATTGGACTGGATGACGCAAAGTCTGTATTGCAAGAGGCGGTGGTCTTACCTCTGGTTATGCCTGATTATTTTAAGGTAAGTTTATAAAAATATCTATAAAACGATTTAGTGGATCCTATAATCAATAAAACCACATTAATTTAAACCTTCAGACCATTACTATTATACATTTTTTTGGGAGTAATTAGAAAGATGACCATATTTGAGACCAAAATAACTCAACCAGAACGGTCGAACAATGGGTATAATAAAGTAATTGTTCAATTACGGTCATTTTACAATTTGCTCACGCCGAAACATTCTACGTCATTGAGGAGAATTAGGACGTTTTAAGGACTTTGCTTAAAGAAAATAAATCACCGTCTTAATCTTGTAGCCCAGTTTAAATTGACGATGTGCGTGACGCGGCTAACGGTCAATGCTCATTTAATTTTGTTTTGCCCGTTCTTTTGAAGTTGTGTGTTTCGACTTCTTGTTGGGTGTCGAAGTATATTTTGAATGCCCGTAGCAGCCAGTGTTGCTGTATGATTTTATTTAGGTAATTGTCAAATTATTTTAGTTTAATATTTTCATCCTTTTAAATTTAAAATATTTAAAACTAAAATAAATAAATTTTCATAATTTCCTTCTAGATCCATATAGTTAGTTTATTTTCTATTTTTACATAAAATTGCGTTCGTATTACCTGTTACGTAATTAGCTATTCGTTAAATACTGCGGTTCGCCGGTTGGGACTGGTGTTTTGCGTGACTCGACGCGTCCAGTGTCGCGCATAATATCAATAATAATGGTCTGTGGTCTACGCTAGTTAGGCCTTGAACCACACAAAACGTGGTTAGCGCACGCCATACCCAGGCCTCGTGATCTAGGCTAGAATTTAGATGGCCTGAATACTTAGAGGTGTTTAAAATTTAGATTACTTAATTATCAAAGTTTTGGGAGAGTATACTGTGAGACTGTGTATTGTTTCATAATGATCGTTATGGTCGCTGAACGAATGCGATTGTTACTTAAAATAATTACGTAGAATAAATTTTATCACGTTAAAGAAGAAAATCTGTTTATTTCCTGATTCAATAATGATTCCCTTAATTTCTTCTATCACACGCCTAAATAATTAGCTCTTTAACAGTTCTTGCATGATTTACCTATTGTAGGGCATCCGCCGACCTTGGAAGGGTGTTCTTCTGACAGGTCCACCGGGAACTGGTAAGACCTTGCTGGCCAGAGCTGTAGCCACCGAGTGCCGAACTACTTTCTTCAACGTATCGTCTGCCACCCTGACTTCAAAGTACAGAGGAGACTCCGAGAAACTCGTTCGTCTTTTATTTGATATGGTGAGTGAATAATGAAAAGCCTTAATTTAGACTATCTATAAGAATGGTTCTAGTAGTACTTAAATAAAGAATTAAGTAGGAAAACATTCCTTCTACTTATTAGGAGGCATTTTCTACATTTTTCTGGCATAGAGCGCCAAAGTAGCAGATTGCCCATGGAATCATTTAGCGTCAGAGGTGTTACAAGTGTGCTACCAAGGGATTCAGACTTTTTAGGGATTGAGGGTAGGGGATGAGGTTGGAGGATTTGAGATGGGTTACTTCAGAGCCATTTACATTAATTATGGAAGTCATATAGAATGTGTTCTCAGACCTAATAAACATTTATTACTTTACAGGCAGCATTCTACGCCCCAAGCACAATATTCCTAGATGAAGTGGATTCTCTTTGTGCTGTCCGTGGCGCTGACTCCGAACACGAAGCTTCAAGGAGGTTCAAGGCTGAACTGCTCATACAAATGGACGGACTAGCTGCTGCTTTGTAAGTCTGCATATACATAGGTATTTAAACATAGAAAATTACGTATTGACCACCAAGGTGCATCATGTTCACTCTTACTGACTAAAAACCACCCCATTCCTACTCCTGTACTTCGACCCGGAGCCCCGGAAACCCATTAGGTTCTCCACGACTCCCTATCGGCATCAGCCCTATTGAGCCCGATCCGTGGTAGTCTGATGGCTCTTTAAGGCGCACGTGGAACGCGATGCGCCATACGCTCGGAATGTTCACGAGTGTTAGCATTATATCTTAGTAAGAGACACTTTATAGATGTTTTAAAAAACTTTGTAATAGTTTACAGTAAAGATCTGTTATTTTGTTACAGCCATCGAGATAAAATCATAATGGTGTTAGCAGCGACTAATCACCCGTGGGACATCGATGAAGCTTTCAGAAGACGATTCGAGAAGAGAATCTATGTCGGTCTACCTGATGGTAGGGGATTAGCGTAATAGTTGAGAATACAACTGTTTAAAAAAGAAACGCAATAAAGTAAAATACTAACGAATGTGTCTGCCTTTTATATTTTAGAGGCAACGAGAATCCGGCTGCTGAAACTTTGTCTACGAGATGTTGCGCTAAATGAGAGTGTGAAGCTAAAAGAAATAGCCAGCCAGCTTGAAGGATACAGCGGCTCCGATATTAGTAATCTGTGTAGGTGAGGATTAAGAGAAATATCTATATGAGGTTAAATAAAATGAACATTATAGTATGGATGGATATGTCTAAAAATTGCCAGTTACCAAAAAACGGACTTTTATCATACAAACTTTTGGTCACATAACTGTGGTCTCCAATTTGTTTTTATGGAATTTACTAATAAAAAAGCAGACGGATCACCTGATGATAAGCAATCGGCGCCAAAGCCCAAGCTATGGATACCCGCAACACCAGAGATGTTCCAAAGCCTTACTTCCAAAGTTTCGAGGATTGGGGAGATTGGGGAGACTAGGGAAGGAAGTGATTGGGCCTCCGATAACCTCAATCACATAACGAAACAACGTAAATGTTGTTTCACGTAGGTTTTCTTAAGATAATAAACAACTTGAATTTGGTTAGGTTTATGATGTTAAACATATTTGGCCGGAGCAAAGCATTTAGTATATTTTTTAAGAGATATTGGCACATAATTCTTTAGTAGAATAGATAGATAAGTTTTAAATTCTTTAAACATTTTACGAATGCTTATTCCCAGGGATGCAGCAATGATGACGATGCGGCGTAAAATAGCTGGCAAGACTCCTGACGAAATACGACAGCTCAAGAGATCTGAACTTGACGCTCCTGTATCAAGTGAAGATTTGTCTGTTGCTATTGAAAAAACCAGGTAATTTATACCATTATGGAAGTAAGACCTTGAGCTATAGATAACCAGCAAGCATTGAATATTATTAATTTTACAATATTCATGACACTGTACAAATAGCGATAAATATTTCGTTTTCTGCCTAAGAGCCTACAAGCTTTTTGAATCAGACTTGATTTGAAAAGTAGATTCACAGTCACCGTTGGATCTGTATTCGACATCTATCTTCTCGATTGCATATCATTAACGTGCTCGATCGTCACCTCCTAATTGTATCTAATTATTGTAGACATCTTCTACCCAGTTATTATGTTTACCTAGGATATTAACACGTGCGATTTCTAAATTATGCGGTTGTCTTTTCCAGGCGAACAGTGTCAGATTCAGATGTAAGCCGGTACAACACGTGGATGGCCAAGCACGGGTGTTCCTAGCGTCGCGCCTGGGCTCTTAGGGCCCTCTTACAGAAGCTGCGTAACGACTAAACGTAACCATCGAACTAGTGGCTTATGCTGTCTCTGCTAGGCTGACGTATTAAAAAGAATTGTCTTTTTAATTCGCAGACATATACTTACCTTTTATGTACCGAGGCTGCTCGCTGAGCATATCGTTTTAGTATCTCGGCATTTTTAATCTGATTTCTCGTTCACATTGTCAGCTGTAGATTTTTTATTTATACTTCTATTAATGTTTACCTAACTCGTATACCTAAGGTTTTTAGAGTTTTATTTTTGATTATTCATACACTTCAATATTTTTTATATGAACGAAAAAATATAGTAACGTGTAGAGCACATTCTCGAGAAATCTGGTAACCTCTCAACTAAGCGAAATTATTTAGTGTTAAGAGCGAGTATATCGACAGTTTACATGATTTTGAAATTAAAGAGTGTATTTTTAAAGTTTAATTTGCTCTAACGGGTACAATGGTAGTCTGCGTATACAAAAAAAGCGTAAAAAGTCTTGAAATAGACGTCAGCCTAGCTTAGACGCATCATCGTTCTGTAGATGCAGTATTTGGACTGAATCCAGTGACTATGAAATTATTAAGTGTAAATTGTATACTTACCTACTGTTTGAAGAGTGATCAAAACTCACATCGAAACTGCCAAGCTTTTGTGGTTTGTCAGAGTGGCCATCGCATATTACCTTCATTTTTATAGGTAGTAAAAGGGGTGGATTTCTACTCGGAGTATGTAATAAATGGAGAACAACATGCCAATGATTTTCACAATATCTCACCTAAAATCTAATTGTTGAGGTATGCAAGTGGAAATATTTCTTGATACCCTGATTGTCTGTTATACTTCTCTACTATTTGTAGAGAATATACAAAGTTATGCCTTTTTTTCATAATCATCAATAAACATCCGTTTGTTATATACTCCGATTACGCTGTTAATGCGTCGAGACAATGCTTGAATGGGTCAATGTACTACATCCTTTGACCAACTTTTATTACTCGATGACTCAAGAGAATAGTGCTGGGTAGTTACATTGACCCAACAAAGTAGTTTCCATAACTAATAATACAAAGAATTTTGATACCAATGTCTACTTAAGATGCACTGAACGAATATAATAATACATTAAAATGATTGCAGAAATTATATTATTGATTGATTGATTGATGATAGCAGATTTAAGATTTAGTTTCTTTATTTTGTTTTGATTTGACAATTATGATGGTGTGTAAACTCTGTAGTTTGTTTTTCAATACTATTTACACAAATAAACTCTGAATTAGACATTTAGTTTTAATTTATTAATAAAATTTTATCATAGTGCTGTTTATATTATCGATATTGTTTTCAGTATCGATACTAATATTATTTCGCTTACTAGTCTTTGACAACTGTAAGCTAAGCATTATATTTTTCAGTTATTATAATCTTATATTATTTTCTGGCTTTTAGTGGCTAAATATTCCAAAGAATTGATATTATGTGGGTATTTTTGAAATAAAAGATAAATAATGGTCAAAATCTGTTTATTGAGGAATGGCATAAAATAGTGTAGTTGATAATTTGTCTGTCTGTCTGCGTTAATATTTCAGTGTAAAATGTAGCTGTACCGTGCCGTTGGATAACGTGTAGATATGAATTTTAATAAAGCTCTTATACGAAATTTGATACAGTATAGTTTGATTTCACACATTTATTGATATGTCTCATAAATTATTAAGGCCACAAATTGGTCCATTAAATTAGTAACAAAATAAAAAATAACTAACAAGAAAAATATAATTTCCAACTACAACATGATCAATAAAATAAATAATTTGGTTTCACATTCAACAGCCTGAGTCTAAAACAATGGCAAAATGTTTAATATTCATTATTTAAAATATAATAAAAATAATATTAGTTTCTTTCAGTAATATGAACAAAGTGACTAACAAGAGATGTAGCAACTAGCCAACTGGGTAATCGATAATCGATTAGCATTCGTTGCATTTTGTAATCGACTAATTAATTAATCAGGTAGTTAAACATCTCGACTAAAAATCATATCACTATACATGCGATTTTACTAAATATTACAAAGATGGAACATTCCTTATTTAATTAGAAAGAGTGAATACTTAATAGTTCGCTAGTTTAGAAGGCACTAGAATAATATTTACATGAGAAACGATTGCTTCACAAACATGCGATATATTTTAAAAGAAAACGTATCTTTGGCTAAAAATAGTATTACAACAATAATTGTTTACACGCGCTCACAGTGTGGATCGACGTGACAGTTTTAATTTAGAACAACATTTCTCAACCAGCGATGTTATTTTACCTTGAACTATATTTTATTCTGAACTATCGATAAATGTTGCGGCCGTCTCTATTTGTAGCTGGCAGTGAGAGCATGTAAAACAATATTTTAAACAAACAAAAATATATCATTTCGCTTAATCTAAATTTAAATATTAATTGTGATTTGTATTATAATGTGAATACTATCACAATAATTATAATGTCATACTATCCCGCCATTTTGTCACATGACGTCATAATTCATTAGTCGATGTCTTTTGATCCGAATTTGTACTAAAAGACTCCGAAAATGATTTTCGGACATGCGGTTCATTCACCTGTACGATAACACTTATGTATTTGAAGACAAATATTTCGAAGATTTTCGATATCAATTCCTAAAAAGTATGTAACGTAACGTAAAACAGAGTTCCATAGAAACGAACTTCATTCGATAACAGTTTTCATTTGGTATCGTTATATATCATATCAGTATCAGTGCTAGATGCATGACCCGATACAGATTGTAATGAAAGTTCAAAAATATAATAAGAAGAGAGAATTGCAGTTATTTTTTAATTGCAAGAATATTTGTTAGAGTTCACCAGAGTTATAAAAATATAATACTTAGTTTCTTTCAGCGGAGTCCCCAAGCAGACACCGATGACCGCTCTGCACCCAGTATAGAGGACCATATTTCCGATGTATAAACATCTGAAGTATTAACTACTTTTGTATGAACAAATGTTGAGGGTTTATCATAATCGTTAATTAAAAAGTTAAAATCGGTTTGGTTTCAATGGATCTCCGGTTTTAAGACTTTCTATCTTTATCTTCAAATACTTGCTATGTCGTGTCCATTTCATACTGTCATATAATTTTCATTACTTACTCTACTTACAATTCTGAAAAATCTAGCAGCAAATTCAGAAAGACTACAAAATTCTAATGTCTATGTAATCTAAAATTTCGTTTGTACGTAAAATGATATTTGCGAATTTATTTTAATAGCTGAAAATAGATGTCAGTCGCGCTGAAGGAAAAGTCCTCTCCAACTTTGTTAGATCTCTAATAGTTATTAAGGCACTTAGGTAAATTCTTTACCTATTTCATTAAATTATCCGATGCGAAAAATTGTGTACAATAATTGATGAGACAGTTTAATTATTTGAAATTATGTTGAAAGTTTATGCGGTGGATGTCCATCTATAATGGAATATCGTTCTTATCTTTACTATTAAACAATTCATTTTACCTTCACATAATTTATCATTATTAATATTAAACACTTCTAGTGAATACCAATTTCACCAATCATAATACCTACATGATACTGGTCATAAGTCATTTTGATTCTACAGCTAATTTAAAAAAAACATATCTAAAGCAAATTGGGAACCATTCCGTCGTAGATATAGTTTCGGGTCGGTCTGTGGAAAATAATAACTGTTTATGTACCATTGAGAAATATGGAAGGCACTTTTTGTAGAAGAATATCGTCATTATTGCAGTGCACTATAGTTTATAGTTACGCGACTGACATAATACCTAGTTTCAACATCACCAGCATAGCCGCACACCTTGCTAGGTGCTATCTTTGGCTACTTATACTAATTAGTCTTGTGGTCACTCGGGTGGGCCTCCATTGGTCTCTGTGGCTGGTTTATGATCATCTTCTTCGTTCTCCAGGATATCAGTGAAGCAGAACGGCGTGAAGGCATACCCTTGACCGTCGTAGAACTTGCTCATGAATTCCACCCTGGAATAAATGATGTCGCGATTTTAAGATCGGGTTAAAAAAGAAAATAATATATTTTTTTAACTCGTCGAGTACCGGTTCTGTAGACACAATTATAGAACAATAGGTTGCGGTCACCGGTGACCGCTTGGTGTTTGACAGTTTAATGCAGGATTGATGGATCAGCAAAAAAATATTTTCATGTCAATTTAATGGATTTAACATTCTGAGACGGAAATAACATAACATAACATCACGCCATTTTATCCCCGAAGGGGTAGGCAGAGGTGCACATTTCGGCACTTAATGCCACTGTACAATGTAACACCCACTTTTCACTATTTATGTTATGAGTCCCATATAATAGGGGGGCACATTTCCAGACTCCGTGCTACTACTGAGATTTTTAAAAGTAATACTTTGCCCGACCCGGGAATCGAACCCGAGACCCCTTGCCCGGCAGTCGCACTTAAGACCATTCGGCCAACGAGGCAGTCAGTCAGAAATACAAAAAAGTAAAACGTAAAAAGAAAGACAAATCTTCGTAGCATAATCCCAACTTACCAATGTAACCGCAGTGTATGCAGGAAGGCAGACAGACCCTCCATGAGCACCAGGATGGCCAGTGTGAAGAAGGCCCACACGGCGAATATGATGTAAAGTTTTATGGAGGTCACGCCAGGCGGACCCATGCCCATTATCAGGACACGCTGCCAAAGTACAGCTGAGAGCTCTGATGAAGAAAATGAAGATTTTATAGGTAATTGTTTAGGTTTAATATTTTTGCTTGCGATTAAAAATAGAATCAAATTTCAATGTTGAAAACCTATTCATATTGGTTTGATTTATAAGGGGAAATATCATCGAAAAACTGCTTCCGCCTGGGTAAGGTGGGAGGGAGTGTCAGACTCTTACTGACTATAAACCACCCCGTTCCTTCTCCTGTACGGTAACCCGTTAGGTTCTCCGCGATGGGATAGGGTGGGCAAAGTGGCAAAAAAATAGACAGATTACCTAAATGAGCAATCGAATCGAGGGCACCTATATATTCCCAAAACACCATAGAAGCTACAAATAGTATGGGTATAAAACTACTAGAATAGAATAACTTGGGATAGCAGTAGAAAAAAAAGAAGAAATATACTACGAACTTACGTGCATGAGCGAGTGAGAGTGCCCACAGTCGCAAGTAGGATGCGGTATGGGACACAGCGCCCAGCACATACTCAATGGTATGGATACATTGAGTGATCAGCTCCTCAGCTATTCCACCATCGTGTCCCTCCTTCTCTGCGACGTCTTCACCTGTTTCAACACCTTGCTGGTATTGCTGAAGCGAAAAATAAAAAGAATTAAGTACCAGGAGGAATGGTATTGTGACATTAATTTCATCAAAAATTATATAATTATCAGTTGCTTAGATTGTACTGTTATCTTCTATCAAATTAATTTTTGAGCAATTCTGACTAATACATTAATTATTTAAATGGTATTTTGTTCTCTAATATTATTTTTTTGTTATGGACGATAGTTTTTTTTTTAATGTTTCATATTAATTTAACCACGACAGAGACAAAAGTCAAGAGTTGATATTCAGTTCCTTAGTTTGGTCTTACTAAAATAAATTCATTCAATCATTTACTGGATTCTTGTACGTTTAATTTCTATGTAATTATGATCCTTACCTTTCGTTTCTTAGCCAAAAACGCTTTGTAAACTGGCTTTCCGAAGAGCATGACGGGTATACACAGGAAGGCAATCGCTAAGAACGTCCTTTGCACCTCATTTTGTCCAGCATACATCATTGCACGGCACGGTGGCTTGTCTTCAGAACTTTTCATAAGCATCATATTGATGAAGATGATTAGGACCGAAGGGGCACACGATGTGCCTAGTGCTGGATCTGAAAAATAGTATTTGATTTATTGCTATAAAATTGGTAATTTTTGTTTTAGTGCAAATTAGAGACAACCTGTGTTTCGTTCCAATTCTTAATATCGAGTGTAGATAGCGAATAATAAAATTACTTAATATGTTTCATTTGTAATACTGAAACTTATATTATACTATAGATAGTTCTAATGTTTACCTTCCGCAACAGCCGAATACATGATCCACTTCATAAACATCAGCAAACAAAGATACCAAAACAAAAGCAGTAGGAACAGTATCTGCGGTATGTACTGCAAGAATATCATCTCGGGCTTCCTGAAGAAGCTGTGGAGCAAAAACATTATTAATTATATCGTCATCACCAATCATTGGAAACGTACTAAACATTCTAGTTTCTATGAATACAGTAATTACTTGAAGTTTACCACACTCATAGTTACACCGAACGCCATATGGATCACACCGAATATTATGGACAGTTTCATCTTGAATGAGTTTAGGAATATTATGTTGTTGGAGGCGAACTGGAACAAAAAAGACACGTATTAGTTAAGATATACAGGAATACAGTTATTAGGTTTTCCTAAACTTATCAATATTAAAGAAATTTCTCACCTGCCACGCTGGGTCCAAACCAAATGGATAAGGAGTCTGTGTATAAGCTGTCTTCGGATCTAACTCTAACATAGTATGATTGCGGAGAACTCCATCTTCGTACACATTCCGCCAACTAGACCCAAATATGTTCAGAGATTTCGAAAACATGTCATTGTATATCAAGCCGGTGTATATAGAAAATATTCCCATTAGTAGTATAATATATCGTCCTCCAAAGAAAATGTTCCATATTTCGTTGTCTGTCTTCGTTTTTAAGAATTTCTTCTCGTAAATGACTAGGATGGCTGCGAAGGCTGTCATAATGATCCCGTGGCCGACGTCCCCGAACATCACAGCGAAGAGGAACGGGAATGTTATGATTGTGTATAAAGCTGAAAATGCAGAATTGACTTATTTAGCATAATCATCATTAATAGTCCGCAACACTTCTGGAGTAGAACCTTCTCTCCATAAGAGGGGTAGATTATAATGTTTACCTGGATTAACTTCTCTGTAGCTGGCGATTCCATAGGAATCAATGAGGTTCTGGAAACCTCGTGTGAACTTATTCGTCCTATTGAATGTCGGTGGTGTCTCATTAGTAGGTACGTAGTGCAAGATCGATGGGATCGGACTTCCACTTGCTTTCTGTAACATAAATTATCCATTTTAAAATCAGATAATGGGAATACAATTAAGTATTTAATTAAGTGTTTTAAATTTCTTCAGTATGTGATGGTTGAAAAGCGACTGTAGTGATGTATGGTGGTACTGCTAGACTAGCAGTAGAGGATACGACTTGATAACAATAGTTGCTAATGAAGTTTTTCAAAAATCAATACGAACCACTCCATTCTCCAACGCCTTCTGCACAGCAGTGAGGTCTCTCCTCGGTACCCAACACTCAGCAATAAGGCACTTCTTAACGATGTCCATGCTGAACATGTTCAAGGTGTGGTAGATGGCTTTCTCCTTACGGACAGCCACCATCCAGGTGCTGATGTCACGAGCAATATTCGTAAGAACCAGTCGACGATGGTTCTCAGTTTGCTCCAAGACCTGGAAGTTAGAATGAATATTTTTAGCAAATTTTTATAATGTGTAAACAGTTAAATTTTTGCTCCACTTATTCCTCCGTTTTTTACTAAACTATATATTTTTAAGAAGAGTATCATATCCAAGTGAAAAATTTGCTTATGGAACGTCGTGGTTCATCGTAAACCGCATCATCGTTTACCACCCGGTGAGATACTGGTCAAACGTCGGGACATAATATTAAAAAAAGGAGTATTCGCACCAGACTTCCTTTTCTCTCTTATCATTTCAAATCAGAACATCAGCTTAAATAGTTCCAAATTCCTTCACAATTATAGTTACCATTTCCAAATCCTTGATCCGGGTCCCAACTCCAGCTAACATGTCCAGTTGATCCTTGTATGTTGCGGGGCATGGGTACAGAGTGGCCTTGAAGCCATGGCAGACCTTTTTCACACGAAGCTTGATCTGCTCCCCGTGGAAGAAGACCACGAACACTGTCTTCTGAAGCGCGTGACCCTGGAAACAAAGGGGTAGATTTTAGGCTGCGTATTAAGTACATGTATGTCATTTAGCATTGAAGGTAACCATTAGTTAGAGATGAATAAGGAACAGTTCAAGATAAATATTTTAAAGCCTAATAAACTATAGAACAAAACGCTCGCCTAATATTTCATTTAGATGTTTTGCTCAACGATTTTATGAATTTTGGTGAATGATATCTTCTATCTTCTTCTTCTGTCGATCCAATAAATCAAAAATTAAAGTATGATTTATCTCTAAAATTTCGCCAGTCCACAGACCAATCTATCTCAATAGTTCTACACGGTACAAATGAGCTGCAATAAAGCAGATATTAACAAAATATATGTTTCCTGAATTATTGCTGCCAGTATAAAGATGTTATTTACATTTTTACAATCATAGCTTCCTCTACAGGAAGCTACACTCTACATATTTTTGGATTTTTGTAGATAAATGTTAAACGACTGTGATATAATTTTATTTATAACAGAAGCTTTAATGTCTTTCCATTTATTTGTTTAAATTTTTATTAATGACGTGTAAAACAATAGTATAATCACCATTATGACAATCATTTCTATCTATGACCGTCATTTATATTTTGACTTGATTTTACTTCATTATTTTCTTTTTACTGTGTATACAGTAGAATATGTAAATTTTTGCCATTCGATTATATTGCCCCGTTGGCCGAGTGGTCGCAAGTGGTCTCGGGTTCGATTCCCGGGTCGTGCAAAGTATTACTAGGTTTTTAAAATATCAGTAGTAGCACGGAGTCTGGAAATGTGCCCGGTATATGGTAATAGGCTCACCCCTATTACATGGGACTCATAAGTCATAACATAAATAGTGAAAAGTGGGTGTTACACTGTACAGTGGCATTATGTGTCGTAATGTGCACCTCTGCCTACCCCTTTGGGGATAAAAAGGCGTGATGTTATGTTGGATTTTCGATTTTACACCTAAACGATAGAGTGGAACAACTGCTGCCGACTGCACTTACGGAGAGAAAATACCTAGCTATGTATTGTAACTACAGGATCAATCCTGTAGTTTGTATTTTGTCAATAGCTATGCTATGCAAATGCTATTGATAGCATATTTATCTATCACTCCATTAGGTGCTGACTTAAAACCGTCAAACCAACAAGAGCTGGTAAACATTCCATTTTATTCAAAGACCCTTTTTCCATATTAACTACTCCTTTGAGTTGCGTGAGTTTTAACTATAATTTTCACCCATTTTAGGGATAGTTAAATTGGTTAGTTCCCTTGGGACAATTTTACCCATGTTGTAGGTTGAAGGGTTTGTTATTGTTCCGTGGTAGGTAAACTAGATCAAGGCTGTACGTTGCGTAGTTTTAATGCCGTAATGGATAGAGGGTTAGCTGGTTGGTTATTTATTTATATTGTCTGAGTATTTGTACGTATATAAAATAGGCATTTAGTTGGCATACATTTCTGTCTATGATAGTCCACTGTTATCTAGACTATGGACCTCATTTAATTGAGAGAATTTACCATAATCACCACGTTTGGCAGGTGAGGGACATATCGTACATTTAAAGGTTGCAGTTTTACGAAATAGCACTGTGGACTGATGTTTATCAAATATGTCGTCCTTTAGTAGTTTTGACACCGAAAGAGCAAAAGTGGTGAGGGAACGTTATCATGGTTCTGTCGTCATATTATAGTCTCCTGTAATAGAATAGAAAATACAAAGCCTATCACCTCAATTTTATGAAAACAAACATACCACCTAGCTCGGTATTTTCCAACCCATCTAAAAGAGTGAACTATAAACTGCCCATCTGTTTTACAATCGTTGAAACAAAAGTCCAACAAAGAGATAGCTATCAAAACATTTCCTGTGGACTATAAATCATTCAGTTTTCACGTCTAGACGAAGGTCATCGCCCTGTTTTGTGAGCTATGAAGATTTATTCCTAACTGACACCCGCCATATTGTGCCTTTTCCCAGAAATTTTAATTGTAATTGTTGAGTTAATAATTAGAATCTTGGTTTGTGGATGCGAATATTTTGGACTTTCGTGTTTTAGGAAGTAATTATTGTTTGGCATTTTAAATTTTGGTGTCGCGGTGGCCCGGAGGTTTAAGACGCCCACTTCTCATGCTTAAGGGTGCGGGTTCGAAACTTACCAACGGAAACTACCAATGTGACTTTTTCCGAGTTATATGTACTTTCTAAGATTATTCAGACACCACTGACAAACGGTGAAGGAAAACATCGTGAGGAAACCTAGGCTTATAATTTCTAATTATGAGTTTGAAATCACCAACCCGTATCAAGCGTGGTGATTAATGCTCAAACCTTCTCCGTGTGATAAGAGGCTTTGCCCAGCAGTGGGCATTTATAGACTGTTGATGATGATAATTGCAACACTAAACTTTTAGTAAGAATCATTTTAAACTGTCAAACACCAAGCGGTCACCGGTGACCGCAACCTATTGTTCTATAATTGTGTCTATAATGACGGTACTCGACGAGTTAATAAGAGATTCTTACCCTGTTTCATAAGAATACATTTATTTAAAGTGCATTTACCCCCTGCCCTTGTTTAAGCTGTAGCCGCGAAGTTATTTTTTTTTATGAAAACCTTTGTAATGGGTAACGGCGTCCACAAAAATCAATATAAAGGCGGGTTAATGACCGACCACTTGTTAACTCACATAAAGTATATTAGCGTTTCACTGCAGACTTGCAGTCAGATTTCCGAGACGTAACAT